AAAGTAGGATCAAAATGAGTCCTGAGTTCTGGTAACGGGTGACGGGTATATCTGTAAATCACAGTAAGGTTATGTATGCTTAGGTTAATCTTAATGGTAGGTACTGCGATGGGCTCAGCATTACTTGTCTGTTAAAGGGTTTTGGTTTGGAAAGAAGGATCTTTCACCACCACACCTGACCGCAACCAATTTATGTAGTTTAAGGGGTGCAAATTAGCTTGCTTACTAATATATATATATATATATATATATATATATATATATATATGTATTGTTTTTAATCTTTAAGATATCTGACAGGCATTTGAGTTTAGATGCTTAAATTGTAAACAACTGCTTGAGTTTTAAGTTATCTCAAATAGAAAGCAATACAATTTCAACAACCTTTTGCAGAATTAACCTCAACATTTGACACAATTAGTGTTTCTCCGGTAATTTATGTCCACACTTTGGACATCTCTAAACTGATCCATCCCTGGACTTTGACTGGTCCATTGTTTTTATTCTTTTTCTGACATTCTGTGGGAGAATTGGGGCTGTCTTTAAGATCATTGTCCCATTGATCAACCCATATTGTGAACCGAGTTTCAGCTGTTCGACAGAATGCCTCACATCTGGCTTCAAGTATATATATATAAAAAAAAAAAAAAAAGTAAAATGACTGCAGGTTTCCTCGGATGTGTGGCTCCAAACCATGCTTAAATCATCCCACCTCCACCACAATAACATAGAAATAGTAAGATGTATTAGCAAGTTTATCTTCCTAGAAACCTGTTTGGCCACATAAAATGACAGCTAGAGAATAAAACACAAAAACCCATAAAATCAGAAGAAACATACTGGGGAATATGTTAATGTGCAAAATATTGGAAACACAGTATCTGGGCTGAGAAGGGAAGCTCAGTTGCTTTCCAGCTGCAACAAACCATTTCGGCCCACCTCCTCTTGAACAGCCCTTGGTGAAACATAGTGGCAGCATCATGCTGTGAGAGGATTTTCTTAGCACTAAAAATAAATTTGTTAATAGTCAGTAGGAAGATGGATGGAGCTTAAATGTATTTTTAAAGGATTTAACACTGGATCAGACTATGCTTACAAACAGACAGATATACACTTCTTAGGGGCTGGTTATCCAGTTTTCATAAACTTTTTTTTTTTAATAAAGCATTTTAAATGCCAAAATACAGATTTAATGAATTCTAATGCCAAATAAGGCCTTCATTTAAAAAATAATATCCAGTGTGTCGCAGTGAGCTTGTCGCAGGAATGATGCAGACATTTTTGATTTATGCTCAATTTTGAAGCGTGATCTACGCTATGTTATCCCACGCCACAACGCAAGAGGGACAATCATGAACTAGTTGTGGGTCTAGATACAGCAGAGGCAGTGAGGAACTGGGGGCAAGTTTTTCTGACATTAGGGACATTAGGGTTTTCCGCAATGTCGGTCATACAAAAAACAAGGCGGTAAGGTACCAAACAGGAAATATGCATGAATAGAGCGGATGTAGATTTGACCTATCAGAGGCCTCCTGTCTGCGGTCACCTACAATTTGGGAGAGGTGCAGCAGAGGAGGCGGGGACGTTTCAGCGTTCACTGCGACACCTGGATGACGACCTAGTTTCAAAGTATAAATCAGCCTTTACACTTAGACTAAGACAGGCTCTATTGTCATTTTGTACACACATAGCGTATACAAAAAGAAATTTCGTTCAGTACAGCTCCCAAGACATTTCCATTTATAAAGTGCAGCAGTGTTCAAAAGTAAACATAAGACTGGTATATGTTTTACAGTTTCAAACAATCAGCACTTTTTTTTCTTTTTTTAAACCCACTTTTTTTATATAACATTCAGCAGTCTAATGGCAGTGGGGAAAAAACTGTTCTGGAACAGCTTCAGCTTCGAAGTCTCTTCCCAGAGGGCAGCAGGGAGAACAGTCCATGGTGGGGGTGTGAGGGGTCATTGATGATGTTACGGGCTCGGGACATGCAGCGCTGAGATAAAATGTCTTTAATGGAGGGAAGGGGAACCCCAATGATCCTCTCTGCTGTTCTCACCACTCTTCTCACCTTCTTCCAGTCTGAGGTGCTGCAGCTTCAGCACCACACAGTGAGACAGCTGGTCAGAATGCTCTCTATGGTGCTTCTACAGAAGGTGGTGAGGATGGGTGGGGGCAGGTAGGCTCTCAGTTCAATTGTTTATTTTGATGTATATGTTGTGTATGCAAGGTTGAGAGCTAAATTTTGTTGAGGACATTTGGGAAGGTTGAGTGTTGAAACTGAGCTATTCTAGCAAAATCTGAACAGTTATCTAAAAGAAATGGGTTGAAATGTCCAAATGTGCACGTTCTATCTATCTGTATATCCATCTAAATAGAGTAGATGGTAAAGTAGGAAGAATCATGGTGCAAATACAATGGC